GGGGATCGGGATGGGGAACACATGTAAATCCATGGCTGATTCATGTCAATGTATGGCAAAAACCACTACAATATTGTAAAGTAATTAGCCTCCAACTAATAAAAATAAATGGGGGGAAAAAAGAAAGAAAAAAAAAAAAATAAAAGCTCTCATCACAATTAAATAAATAAATAAAGTTCCAAATCCAGCTTACAGTAGACTGATGGAAACTTGTAATCAAATAGTATAAAAAAAAAATGAAGCTAAAACAATTAGCCTTATAATACTGAACTTTTCAAACTTTTGTTTATGTAATACAATATGAATGAAAATGTGTTTAAAATGTATAGCACTATCAGTCACAATGGAATAACAAATACCAGATTTATAATCGATTAGAAAATTTGTGGTTCCTGGAGAAGAAAACAGCAACCCACTCTGGTACTCTTGCCTGGGAAATCCCATGGACAGAGGAGCCCAGCAGGCTACAGTCCATGGGGTCACAAAAGATTGAACACAAGTGAGAGGCTGAGCACAGCACAACACAGAAGAAATGGGAAATGAAAATCTATGCTTAATACATTGCATTCAGTGGTAAATTTCTATGAAACTCATTTAAAAATAAGATTTACAGAATTCTTTTTAATTTATGCAATGGCTGGAGAGATAGTCTATGCTGATATCAAACATACATCTTCAGAACATTCATCTTCACTCCAGAGATCTGGTAAGCTGGATCTAGAACTTCTGTTAAAATTGATGTTTTACTTTAAATCTCCCTTGTTTCTGTCCTGTGTTTACATCTGTCTTACTGAAAATGTGCTAAGTCACTTCGTCGTGTTAAACTCTTTGTGACCCTATGGACTGTAGCCCACCAGTCTGTTCTGTCCATGGGATTCTCTAGGCAAGAATCTTGGAGTGGGTTGCCACTTCCTTCTCCAGGGGATTTACTGGAAATAGGAGACTGAATTCAAAGCAAAATCTACTGAATGCCAGGATAAAAGTGAAGAATTTTAATGACACAAAGTGTTCATGAAGTTAATTGTAACTTTAGTCTTAATATGTAGACTTTTGCTTTTGGTTTCCATGAACTCTATCCCTTATATTTCTTGTGGTGAACATTTATTATATTCCTGTGGTGACATTGATACTCATAACCTCTTTCTGCTCTATAATTTTACTCATCCAAATCTGCCCTTTGAAAATAATATGATAAACCCATTCACACTGAGGAAAGTATCCCTGGCAATTATTCACATTGTTATTTAGCCTTTTGGAAGTTGTGTATTGGTAGGATAAAAATGTTAAACTAAAATAAAAAGACATAAGATGTTAATATCTTATTTCTTTAAGTTTACAATTGATGATTATCTGAGTAATAGAATATTTCTGGAGCACAAGTAGACAGGCATACAGCTACAGATAAGATTGTACCTTAATCAAAAATCACCTAAAAACCAATAGCTTTTCCAAATCCAGTGTATGTTCTACATACATTCTATATAAATGAAGCTTTATGGAAAATTCCATGTTGCATTTATATTATCTCCTCTAGGGTAAGAATTTTTGTATTGTAAAGGTTATATAAAATGTTTAAAGTCTCCACAAGCTTGTCCTTGTGGAGTAAAACTGATGTTTTGCTTTCCTGTTTATTCCCAAGAATCCATTTCTTCTTTCATATTTTTAAGTTTGCAGTTTTCAAGTGAATCTCATGTATGGTTTTCTCCAGTTGAAAGAAATTTCCTATGTTTAGACGTTTTCTCTCCAACTTGCTCAATGGGGCTTCCCAAGTGGTGTTAGTGGTAAAGAACACACCTGTCAATGCAGGAGACATAAGAGATGTGGGTTTGGTCCTTGGGTCAGGCAGATCTCCTGGAGGAGGGCATGGCAACCCACTCCAGTAATCCTGTCTAGAGAATCCCATAGACAGAGGAACCTGGTGGGCTACAGTCCATAGGGCCATAAAGAGTCAGACATGGCTGAAGCGACTTAACACAGCACAGCACAACTTGCTCAATATGGGCTTATCTGCTTTCTTTTCTTGACAGACTGGGAGCTTTCACTTTATGTGAGCTAATCGAACTTAGTTTGAGAAGTAGTATGGACGACACCTGTATTCTTATGCCTTCGTTTCCCACAAATCTCATATAATGGGTCCATTTTTTCTAGAGGTTATTTTAACTCACTTCAAGCTACAAGACCAATATTTTTTGATTCTGCATGCCAGGATTTAGTTTCGTCTGTTCATGGAAAGAACATTACTTTTTTCCTGGTCCAAAAAAAGAAAAAAAGAAAGTGGTACAAATGAACCCATTTACAAAACAGATACAAAGTCACAGACTTAGTAAACAAATTTATGGTTATCAAGGGGAAAAGAAGGGAGGGATAAATTGGGAGATTGGGATTGACATACAAATTTATAAAATGGACTTCCCTGGTGGCTCAGTGGCAAAGAATCAGCCTGCCAATGCAGGAGACCTGGGTTCGATCCTAGGGTGGGGAAGATGCCCTGGAGAAGGAAATGGCAACCCACTCCAGTATTCTTGCCTGGAGAATCCCATGGACAGAGGAGCCTGGTAGGCTACAGTCCAAAGTGTCATGAAAGGTCAGACACAACTAAGTGACAAAGCACGCAAATCAGTTATACTCCAATAAAAATTAAGAAAGAATAGAACAAGGAAAAAAGATTTGGGGACAGTGTCTTTAATGATGTCTAGTCCAATTTTACTGTAATGTTAAAAACGAGGAAATATGAATGCATAAAAATTAAATTACCTACCTATAGTCATGACTAGAAGTCAAATATTTTATTACTCGTTCACTGCATATCTCTGTTGTGGATAAATGTTAACTTTTGTTCCCATGTGTCATATTCAAGATGGAAAGAAAGATTTGCTACATTGGATTGTAATGTCCCACAGAGCCCTACACAATTTTCCCCGAGCTTTCTCTTCAAAGTTGCTAAATTTCACTTGTTTAACTCTGGTTGTTGACTTTCTCTTTTCTCTTTAGAATTATCATATTCCTTCCTATTTCAGAGCTTCATGAGTGTTGAAACACTCCCCCTAATCTCTTAATCTTTGTATTTCCAATGCCTCCCACAGTACTAACTCCTCGGTAGGCAATTAATAGATGCCTCGTAGGCAGATGAATGTATAAATGAATTTTAAGTAAATGGATCTCATTTATTTTAAATATTATAGGTTCATTGGCTCTCCAAGATATAAAACAAGAGGGTACCCCCATGAAACTGAGTGAAATATCAGTGAGAAAAGGTAATACAATTGAGAATATTCCAGACTAAGACTCAGAAATTCATGATTTTCTTAAACTTTACTTCAGGGGCCTAAAGGGATGATGTAGTATTCCTTGTATTAGTTCCATTCATGAACTCTGACAATTTAGTCTCCAACTTTTTAGGTCTGAAATCTCAGCTCTCTATCCTAGAAATATGTGTTGGAATATTATCACATTCTTCTCACTACTGCCTAGTCAGGCACAATTTGCATCAATTTGCCTGACAAAAGGAAATACATGGACTTCTTTTAGTGTTTTGAGAATTTAATAAATTCTCATTAAAGATGTTTTACTTAAACAATAATAATTTGAACAAGCGCTGTAATCTGCATATAAGTTAAATAAGCAGGGTGACAATATGCAGCATCGACGTACTCTGTCATAGTATTCTACTAAATAAGCATTCATGTTAATCATTCTTGACATTTGATTTTGTAATTGGTTGTATTTTCACATCAGTTATAGTAGTAGGCTCTCAGTTTGTGAAAGTGAAAGTATCAGTTGTGTCTGACTCTTTGCAACCCCATGGACTGTAGCCTGCCAGGCTCCCCTCTCCATGGAATTCTCCAGGCAAGAATGGTGGAGTGGATAGCCATTCCCTTCTCCAGGGAATCTTCCTGATCCAGGGATTGAACCTGGGTCTCCTGCACTGTAGGCAGACATTTTAATGCCTGAGCCACCAGGGAAGCCCCATGTAGATATGTATATATCACATACCTAGTGGAATTGATATACTGTAACTATTTTGGATAAAAGCCTCTTGGTTTTAGCCATCAATCAGACCAGAGCTAAAAATGTCACTTTCTTTTTATGACTTATTTATCTGATTACGAGAGATAGAATGGATAGTGAACAATGGTCTAATTTGGTAGTTAAGAAACCTGAGGTATGATCTCAATTCTACTATCAAGTAACTGTTTTGTGGACTTAAAATCCCCATTTTAGCATTCAAATGTTGGACAAGATTATCCCTAAAATTACTTTTATTTTAAAATGTATAACTTTATAAAATTGCAATTACGTGTCACAGGAAATAGGTTTATTGTATAAGAATGCATAAAAGAGACATAAAAGAATGAATCAACCCAAATAAGTGAGGGCTGTCGGTAAGTTTACTCTAGAATCTTGAGAATTTCAGTCTTATATAACAATTTAGGAATGCAGAGAGTAGATCATAAGTTAAGATTATGCATGGTGAATCAAAAGGAAAAAATATATTCTTTCAGTTCTATAAATTCCCCCTTCTTCACAAAAGTGAAAGTATCAGTTGTGTCTGAATCTTTGCAACCCCATGGACTGTAGCCTGCCAGGCTCCCCTCTCCATGGAATTCTCCAGGCAAGAATGGTGGAGTGGGTAGCCATTCCCTTCTCCAGGGAATCTTCCTGATTCAGGGATTGAACCTGAGTCTCCTGCACTGTAGGCAGACATTTTACTGCCTGAGCCACCAGGGAAGCCCCATGTAGATGTGTATATATCACATACCTGGTGGAATTGATATACTGTAACTATTTTGGATAAAAGCCTCTTGGTTTTAGCCACCAGAGCTAAAAGTGTCACTTTCTTTTTATGACTTATTTATCTGATTACGAGAGATAGAATGGATAGTGAACAATGGTCTAATTTGGTGGTAGTTAAGAAACCAATGAGGTATGATCTCAATTCTACTATCAAGTAACTGTTTCGTGGACTTAAAATCCCCATTTTAGCATTCAAATGTTGGACAAGATTACCCCTAAAATTACTTTTATTTTAAAATGTATAATTTTATAAACTTGCAATTACATATCACAGGAAATAGGTTTATTGTATAAGAATGCATAAAAGAGACATAAAAGAATGAATCAACCCAAATAAGTGAGGGCTGTCGGTAAATTTACTCTAGAATCTTGAGAATTTCAGTCTTATATAACAATTTAGGGATGCAGAGAGTAGATCATAAGTTAAGATTATGCATGGTGAATCAAAAGGAAAAAATATATTCTTTCAGTTCTATAAATTCCCCCTTCTTCACAAATCAGGGGACCAAATTTGTATGTAAGAGGAAGTTAGGTCTACATATTTCAAAGGAAAGTAACTCAAGAGCATAACTAAAAAGTTTATTCATCCCTTCCTTACCACCTAAGGAATTACTTACTGGGCCTACTAATGAAATTTATCCAATTTTATAGATTCTCAACACCACAGAATTTTCCTGAAAGTTGAATGTGCAATGATTATCATTCTTCTTGTAATAGTAGCTGTGCTGAGCGTGCTTGGTAAGTAATTACCAATAACCTTTATTTACCCCAAAGTATTATTTTATCATGACCTGTTGTAATTGTGTTTGCTGTTAAAGTGGTTTCTACACAATTCAGTACAATTTCACAAAAGGCAGGAAATTTTATACACAAATAAAATTAGAGATTTTCCATAGAACTCCATCATGTGATATTACATACATTATGGATTCATTTCATTGATATATGAAGGAGGCTAGATTTATACTTTATGATCAAAATCAGCTTCTCTGAACCATGTTCGGTGAAAGCAAATAAACTATGAAGCATATTTCTGTTTAAGCTTATTCAAGATCTTATTCAAGCTTACTAAGATCATGGCATCCTGAAAGTGAAGTGAAAGTCACTCAGTCATGTCCAGCTCTTTGCGACCCCATAGACTATACAGTCCGTGGAATTCTCCAAGCCAGAATACTGGAGTGGGTAGCCTTTCCCTTCTCCAGGGGATCTTCCCAACCCGGGAATTGAACCAAGCCTCCTGCATTGCAGGTGGATTCTTTACCAGCTGAGCCACAAGGGAAGCCCCATTAGCTACTGAGGGGCATCATCAATCTTGCATGCATGGGTGAAATTTTTGTCTAAAACCAATCAATTCACTCAGGCACTTCAAAATTATACTCATATGCTGTGAATATAGTGAAATATAGTCCAACTTTGTATGGCAATTATTTTAATAATTTTTTGAGTAAATGCTTGGAGAAAAGCTCCCAGATGATGTATACTCTAAGGAATTCAGGTTTCCAGATTGAACCAAACTCTAGAACAGATCAAGGCAGTATCTGCCCGTATTGTTCTTGTGAATGATATTAGTAATTACGTATGTCATTAGTTACTAGAGGTCAATGGGCAGAGTCAGAATTCTAGAACTGGATAGGGCCCTAGAAATCAACAAGGTCAAGCCTCCAGTTGAGGTGAACAGTCTAAAGCCCACAGTGATAAGTGGTTTGACTAGTTTAATATAACTAGGCAGTGGCCAAATTGGGACTTTAACATTGAGGGGATAAAGCAAAAAATACTTAACATTCAACACCTCTTCTGGGACTTCCATGGCAGCCCAGTGGTTAAAACGACTCTGCATTTCCACTGCAAAGGGTGCAGGTTTGATCCCTGGCCAGGGAACTAAGATCCCATATGCCATGGGGCATGGCCATTAAAAAAAAAAAAAATACCCTCTCTGCTAGGTTTCTTTTTGGTATAGGTTAATAGATTTGCTTTTGAACTGTGGTGTTGGTGAAGACTCTTGAGAGTCCCTTGGACTGCAAGGGGATCCAACCAGTCCATCCTAAAGGAGATCAGTCCTGGGTGTTCATTGGAAGGACTGATGCTGAAGCTGAAACTCCAGTACTCTGACCACCTCATGCGAAGAGTTGACTCATTGGAAAAGACCCTGATGCTGGGAGGGATTGGGGACAGGAGGAGAAGGGGACAACAGAGGATGAGATGGCTGGATGGCATCACCGACCCAATGAGCATGAGTTTGAGTAAACTCCAAGAGTTGGTGATGGACAGGGAGGCCTGGCGTGCTGCAATTCATGGGGTCGCAAAGAGTTGGACACGACTGAGTGACTGACTGAACTGAACTGAACTGAATAGATTTGCTTGTTATCACAAAGTAGTTTGTTAGTAACAGATTTTTTACTATGATAGATTTTAAAGATTTAACTGATTAATACACACTATTGTGAGATTATAAATAACCAAAAGTAATTTCAGTGAAATGGCCATCAGAAAGACAAATGCCTTCCTCATGGTAGAAAAATACTCTGGGCTCACCCTGTCCTTCCATATGTAGAGTTTAAATGGACAACCACAAAAGGAACAGAATCATGAACTGAAATCAAAACACATAAAGCTCTTTCTATGAATCAGGTGACACCTGGTACAGTTAGCAGGAACTTACCAAACACAAACTATTCAAATGAAGCTCACATTCAAAGCTGGTTACTTTGTGTTTATTAAAATAAATATGAAAACTCCAGAAAAAAATCAAGTGAGTTTCCTTCTGGTCCCAGGTCCTATTTTTCCAATTCCCCTAAATTTGATATTAATAAAATTAACAGGAGTATGTGCAAAAGAAGGTACAATCTTGGGAAAAGGAAATTTTTCCCATAAATTTTAATCACTTTAATTGCTCTGGAGTTTCCACATCAATCAATTTCACTGAGTCACTACAACCTGACCGTTTTCTGCTTCATATTTAATTAAGAAAAGATGTCTCTTCTTTCACTAGTTATTCAGTTCAAATCTGCAAGACAAACTGAAGTGGATAATGAATCAAAGAAGAAATATTGTACTGAGCAAAGTAAATCTGAAGCAAGCAGCTCAATAGGTAATGTTATTTTATATTGCCTAATTCCTGAGTTGACTATGATGGCTACTCCATTTCTTGTAAGGGATTATTGCCCACATTAGTAGATATAATGGTCATCTGAGTTAAATTCATCCATTCCAGTCCATTTTAGTTTGCGGATTCCTAAAATGTCGATGTTCACTCTTGCCATCTCCTGTTTGATCACTTCCAATTTGCCTTGATTAGTGGACCTAACATTCCAGGATACTATGCAATATTGCTCTTTATAGCATCAGACCTTGCTTCTATCACCAGTCACATCCACGACTGGGTGTTGTTTTTTCTTTGGCTCTGGCTCTTCATACTGTCTGGAGTTATTTGTCCACCAATCTCCAGTAGTTTATCGGGCACCTACTGACCTGGGGAGTTCATCTTTCAGTGTCCTATCTTTTTGCCTTTTCATACTGTTCATGGGACTCTCAAGGCAAGAATAGTGAAGTGGTTTGCCATTCCCTTCTCCAGTGGACCACATTTTGTCAGGACTCTCCACCATGACCCGTCCGTGTTGGGTGGCCTTACACAGCATGGCTCATAGTTTCAGTAAGTTAGACAAGGCTGTGGTCCATATATCAGATTGGTTAGATTTCTGTGATTGTGGTTTTCATTCTGCCTGCCCTCTGATGGAGAAGGATAAGAGGCTTACGGAAGCATCCTGATGGGAGAGACTGACTGAGGAGGATATTGGGTCTTGTTCTGATGGGCAGGACCATGCTCAGTAAATCTTTAATCCAATTTTCTGTTGGAACAACAGACTGGTTCCAAATCAGGAAAGAAGTATGTCAAGGCTGTATATTGTCACTCTGCTTATTTAACTTATATGCAGAGTACATCATGAGAAACACCAGGCTGGATGAAGCACAAGCTGGAATCAAGATTTCTGGGAGAAATATCAATAGCCTCAGATATGCAGATGACACCACCCTTATAGCAGAAAGCAAAGAAAACCTAAAAAGCCTTTTGATGAAAGTTAAAGAGGAGAGTGAAAAAGTTGGCTTAAAGCTCAACTTTTAGAAAACTAAGATCATGGCATCCGATCCCATCACTTCATGGCAAATAGATGGGGAAGCAATGGAAATAGTGACAGACTTATTAGTTTGGTCTCCAAAATCACTGCATGTGGTGACTGCATCCTTAAAATTAAAAGACACTTGCTCCTTGCAAGAAAAGTTATGGCTAACCTAGAGAGCATATTAAAAAGCAGAGACATTACTTTGCCAACAAAGATCCATCTAGTCAAAGCTATGGTTTTTCCATTAGTCATGTATGGATGTGAGAGTTGGACCATAAAGAAAGCTGAGCGCCAAAGAATTGAAACTTTTGAATGGTGGTGTTGGAGAAGACTCTTGAGAGTCCCTTGGACTGCAAGGAGATCCAACCAGTCTATCCTAAAGGAAATCAGTCCTCAATATTCATTGGAAGGGCTGATGCTGAAGCTCCAATATTTTGCCCAACTGATGTGAAGAACTGACTCATTTGAAAAGACCCTGATGCTGGGGAAAATTGAAGGCAGGAGTTGAAGGGGACAGCAGAGAATGAGATGGTTGGATGGCATCACCAATTCAATGGACGTGAGCTTGAGTAAATGCCAGGTGTTGGTGATGGACGGAAGCCTGGCGTGCTGCAGTCCAAGGGGTCGCAGAGTCGGACAAACAGAAACTGAACTGAACCAAATCGAATTCCTGAATAAGCAAGTGTGGACAGTAGCATGGATTTTACTTGGGTATATCTGAATAAAGGGGAAATTCCTCTACCCCTACAGAGGGATGGTTTAGACCATTGTTTCTCATGGGTCTATTACAGTCCTTGACGAAAGTATTTCAAGATTGAAGACAAATGAGAAAAATAAACCTGTATATGTTTAAAATGAATTTAAAGGTACTATGTTGAAATCACTGTATTTTATTAGTATTTTTATTTCTGCTGGGACATGTGCAGGTGTAGAATATGGTCAAATATTTTCTTTCCTAAAATTCATGTTCACACCACACAGCTTTTTGTCACTTTTGTAATGGTACTACATGAAAAATGTGATAAATGATTATTTTATGTGATTTTTTATCTTTCACACATGAATGTATTTATATACTTTCAAAAGTCAAGAACACACTCAATTATTTAGCTTTTCTATTTTCTTTTTCTTTCTGCTTCCTTTATTATTTTTAATCTGTTGACTTAAGTTTTAATTCTATATTGAAAAACTATATGCCTTTCTTTTTTTGAACCTGCATATATAATGTTATTAGAAAAACTTACCAGTCCATGTTATAGAGTGATTTCAACTTCTGGGAACTCATTAAAACTTTAAAATGGATATTAATTGTTCCATGTCTCCTCAACCTTATTCCAAAAACTTTAATTTTTTTAAACTAGTGAAACTATGACAGCAAATTTTCTGGGACATTATTCCCAACACAAAAGCACATAATTGTCCTCCTTCTACCCTTGATAGAGGTGATAACATGGTATTGAACAAAATTCCTTTAAATTCTGTCCAGACCCTTTTATACACAGGAAGATCAATCTATCTGAGTTTTAGAGACCACCTACCATACAAATTTTGCCCAGTGAAAATTCTTATGACTTTATAATTCTAAAAATTACAGTGATATATAATTCTCAAAATGCCTGGTTCATTGGTGGATCACTAGTTGTAATCTCTAATTTCTACTTTTCCTCCAAAATTTTTATCTTCCTGAAGTTTGGATGTTGATTTCTTTATCCTAGTGTCTGTGTATTGCCTAGCTCAGAGAAAACATATTTTAAAGAGAATAAATTAAATGGGAGAAAGAAGAAAAGAGAGAAAGAAAAAAAAAATACACAATTGAAATTCCATTAGTTTTTTTTTTTTTTTTCAAAATCCATCCTGAGAAAAGCACATACTTATATCAAAGAAAACTTAGGCCATAATTTAACAAATTTTGAGAGGTTTTAATTATTATACAATATTAGGGATGCATCCTCATGTTTGCTGTAATTACTTATCCTTTTTCTTTCCAGTTTCTTTTGATTCTTCTACTGTTCATACATCATGCCCCACCAAAGATTGGAGGCCACATGGGGGGAAATGCTACTGGGTTGCTGAAAATGAAAATAAGAAATCTTGGAATGAGAGTAAAAATGACTGTGTCATGAAAAACTCACGTCTCATGGTGATCCGAAACTTCACTGATACGGTGAGGTATAAAATTTTAAGATTATGGCATCCTTCACAACTGCAGTACTTCTTTGTGCTACAAATTTGAAAATTTCAGTGAAAAAAATTTAAACCTCATTGATATTAACTGCACAATTATTGGTTGAATGAATCATTGAAACTACATTATTATTTTAGGCTTCTTTTGCTTCCTTTGTGGCTCAACTGGTAAAGAATCCGCCTGCGATGCGAGAGACCTGGGTTCGATCCCTGGGTTGGGAAGACCCCCTGGAAAAGGGAAAGGTTACCCACTCCAGTATTCTGGCCTGGAGATTCCATGGACTGTATAGTCCATGAGGTCGCAAAGAGTCAGACACGACTGAGCAACTTTTACTTTCACATTCACTTAGCTAGGAATAGGAGAAATCCTTTTAGTAATATATACTTAAGTTCTCTATAACGGATCTTTCTGTTTCCCAGATTGCATTTTAAATATATGACATCAGTCTCATCCCCCACATTTAATCCATTGTTGCTCACAAAGTTTGTGGTCAGACAGCATGGCAGCTGAAGTTAAAAATGATGTTCAGAGAAAGGAAATACAGTATAGCCCTTCTCATTAAACTTTGGTTTTTGTTGAAGAAAACTAACATTTTTCTAACCCTGGCTTAATGTAAATTGAAATTTTCTTACACGAAGGTTGGACACTAAACCTAAATAAGGCCAGTATAGATATTAGTTGGCAAACATCAAATAAGGATTCTCAGCATAAGAATTAGTACATTGAAATTACAAGTGATATCAAAGGCTCAGTTTCAGAAAACTCAATGACAAACAGTGCTTTACAAGCCTGGTTAAGTCTTGAGAGTTTACATCAGGGCAGCTGTTGAAACTTTTGTAAGGGGAAGAAAAAATTCCTCTGAGTTTCATAGAAACCCACAACAACAAGAAAATCAAAATGGGAAGTAAGTTATCTTCAGTGTAACCAATGTAACCCCAAATATCAAACTGTAAAACTCTTTGTCAGATCCAGTCCAAATTGGTTTGAATATGAACCAAATCCAGAATGGGTGAAGAATTAAAAAGAGACTTTTTCTTCTCTTAGAAGTCAGCTTCAGACAAAAAAAAAGGGGGGGAAGAAGGTATCAACTGGAAAGGACCTAATAAGAAAGCATCTAATAAGAAGAGACTGAGTTACATAGCTTTGTGCTTGTAAATGAATACACAGTTCCTCCTAGGTCTTTAATGTGGAGTTTCAGTTAACTATTAAGTGATGGGTTAGGTTTCTTGTTGCCCAGGAAACATGTCTTTGCTGCATTTCAGCATTTTTCAATTTGATGATGAGCAGGAAACAGATAAGGTTTTTAGGGAAGTCCTTCATTGCACTGTTTCTCCATGCAGTGACTTATTGTTTGTTTCTACCCAGGAACTGAACCCAGGTCTCCCACATTGCAAGCAGTTTCTTTGCCATCTGAGCCACCAACAGAATAATAAAGGGGTTGTAAGGATTTCCAGGTGGTGCTAGTGGTAAAGAACCTGCCAGCCAATGCAGGACATGCAAGTTTGATCCTTGGGTCAGGAAGATCCCCTAGAGGAGGGCATGGCAGCCCCTCCAGGATTCTTGCCTGGAGAATCCTATGGATAGAGGAGCTGGGTGGCTACAGTCCATTGGGTTACAAAGAGTCAGACACAACTGAAGTGACTTAGCACAAAAGCACCTAAAGGGGTTGTATGAGTTTGTTAGAGCTAACATAACAAAATACCACAGACTTGGCGGCTTATGTATCAGAAATTTGTTACTCACAGCTCTGAAGGCTAGAAGTTCAAGATCAAGGTGTTGGCAGGTTTGGTTCCTTACAAGGCCTCTCTCCTCAGTTTCTAGATGGCCACCTGTTTGCTCTGTCCTCACATGGTCTTTCCTCTGTATGCATGCATCTATGTCTCTCTGTATGTCCAAATTTCTGCTTCTTATAGGGACAATAATCAGATTGAATTAAGATCTACCCTAACAGCCTCATTTCTGCTTAGTCACCTCTCTAAAAGCTGTGTCTCCAAAGGCAGTCACATTTTGAAGCACTGGGGGTTAGAGCTTCAAATGCATACATTTTGAAGAGACACAGTTGAGCCCATAATATTCCGTCCTCTGGCCCCTGAAGCCTGTAATAGGGGTCAATTATACATGTGAAGCAACTGAGCATGGCATGGCATATATGTGAATTGGACAGTGGTAAAGAATCTGCCTACCAATGCAGGAGATACAAGAGACATGGGTTTGATCCCTGGGCTGGGAAGATCTCCTGGAGGAGGAAATGGCAACCCACTACAGTATTCTTGCCTTGGAAGTCCCATGGACAGAGGAGTCTTGCAGTCTACAGTCAGTCCACAGGGTCATAAAGAGTCAGACAAAACTTCAGCAACTTAGCACATTATAGCCAGTCATATACTTTGTCTCAGGGGTTATGTTATTGCACAAAAGGAGATATTATCCACCTCCTAGAGTAATGGACATAAAAACAAAAATAAGCAAATGGGACTTAATTAAACTTAAAAGCTTTTGCACAGCAGAAGATACAAGATTAAAAGACAACCCTCAGAATGGGAGAGAATAATTGCAAAGGAAAAAACTGACAAAGGATTAATCTCCAGGATATATAAGCAGCTCATGTAGCTCAACATCAAGAAAACAAAGAGCCCAAACAAAAAATGGGCAGAGGACCTAATCTGACATTTCTCCAAAGGCATACAGATGGCTAATAAACACATGAAGAGGTGCTCAGCATCGCTCATCATTAGGGAAATGCAAAACAAAACTACAATAAGGTATCAGCTCACACGGGTCAGAATGGCCATCATTAAAATCTCTATAAACAATAAATGCTGGAGAGGGTGTGGTGAAAGGGAAATGCTCTTGCACTGTTGGCGGAAATGTTAATTGATACAGCCACTGTGGAGAACAGTATGGAGATTCTTTAACTAGGAATAAAACTACCATATAACCCAACAATCCCACTACTGGGCACATACGCTGAGAAAACCATAATTGAAAGAGATGCATGTACCTCAATGTTTGTTGCAGCATTATTTACAATAGCTAAGATATGGAAGCAACCTAGATGTCCATTGATAGAGGAATGGATAAAGAAGTTATGGTACACATATGCAATGGAATATTACTCAGCCATAAATAGAACACATTCGAGTTGATTCTAATAAGGTGAATGAACCTAGAGCCTGTTATACAAAGTAAGTCAGAAAGAGAAAAACAAATATCATATATTAATGCATATATGTGGAATCTAGAAAGATGGTACTGATGATCCTATTTTCAGCAGTGGAGATGCAGACATACAGAACAGACTGGTGGACAAAGTCGGGAAAGGAGAGGGTGGGAGAAATTGAGAGAGTAGCATGCAAACATAGAGATTACCATATCCAGTGGAAATTTGCTATATGATGCAAGGGGCTCAAATCAGGTTTTCTTTGACAACCTAGAGAGGTGGGATGGGATGGGATGGGAGGTGGGAGGGAGATTAAAGAGGGAGGGGACACATGTATACCTATGGGAGATTCATGTTGATGTATGGCAGAAACCAACACAACATTGGAAAATAATTATCCTCCAATTAAAAAAAAAAAAAACTTATCAACAATATGTGCTCCATCAGCTCAGAGATTGCTTTCTTCCTATAACTTTTCCTGTGTGTTTTCTTGCTTCTAGATTATTGTTTAATACTTGTATTTAGTAGTAATCACTATTATTTAGGCAAGAAGCATTCATTATGTGCCAAGCAGTGTTTAATATTACTTATTAACAAAACAATAACAGTTCTTTGAGATAGATATGAATATTATCACAGTCAGAGTTTTAGTGGTTGGAAAAATACAGAAATAAAAAGAATGAATAACTGTGCAAAGATGTGTAGTAGTAATAGTAGCTGCAGCCTGACCCCACAGCCTTGGTGTCTATTAACACTGTCCGTAATAGTCCTTTTTATCTTCACAGTCTCAGTTCATGTTTTTATATTGGAGTATAATTGGTATAAATATATTCCCTCTCTCTTGAACCTCCCGCCCACTCTAACTTAATATCCCTTTAGGTCATCACAGAGCACTGAGCTGAGCCCCCTGTGCTATACAACAGCTCCCCACTAGCTATCTACTTTGCACATGGTAATGTGTGTGTGTGTGTGTATCCCAATCTCCCAATTTTCCCACCCTCCCTGTCTTCTTGTGTCCACATGTTCTTTCTCTATGTCTGCATTCCTGCCTTGCAAATAGGTACATCTAGATTTTTTTTCTCATTTATTTTTATTAGTTGGAGGCTAATTACTTTTTTAAAATTTATGTTTAGATCCCTTATATATGTGTGTGTGTTAGCGCATGATATTTGTTTTTCTCTTTCTGACTTACTTCACTCTGTATGACAAATGATAACATTTCATTCTTTTTTGTGGCTGAGTAATATTCCATTGTACATACGTACTACATCTTTATCCATCCATTTGTCAATAGACATTTAGTAATTTTTCTTTAGCTTTCATTCCATTGCATTGCTGTGGATTTCCCCTCCACTGTGATATATTTGAAAACATGAAGCATGTCTTGCCTGTTCATCCCTAGCTTCTAGTGCAATGCCAGTCACATAGAAGGTGCTCCTGTGGTATTTTATCTTGCATCTGTAAGAATCACTTGATTTCATACAACATTTCCTATTCTTTTTAGACTTTCCCATGGCAAAACGTACGTGATTCATTTTGGGTTGGTTTGAGGATTCCTCCTGGAGGGGAATTATGGACCTGGCTGGACAACAGCACTTTTGACCCAAAGCTGTAAGTCTTTTGCATTTTTTCCTTTTGTGGTTTTCAATCCCATGTTGTATGTGACAAAAAAGAGACATATGACATAATTGGCTTTGAATTGATCTAATGGGTATAGATTTCCTGACTGCTACAGTCTGATAAATATTTCTATAAAATGATTCACACAGAAAGTTGAGAAAGAAATCTCCCTCCATCCACTCAGAAAACTTATGTATGAAACAGGATTGCCCTGTTGCCTGATTTTAGCTTTTTATATAAAAGGTAAATTAGCAAGTGTAAACTCTTTTATGAGTGCACATGTTTGTTTTACAGAGCATAACTTTCTGCTCACTTCTTAGAGTGATCAATTTTTAAGCAATAAAAATGTCAGAGCTGAGGGATTTCCCTGATGGTCCAGTGGTTAAAACTCCGGATTCCCAATACAGGGGGCATGGATTCAAACCCATCTCCTATCAGGGGGAACTAGGATCCCACACACTGCTCAGAGTGGACTAAAAAAACTCAGAGGTGATATTTTAGCTCTCTTTAATGAACTATTAGGGCTTCCCTGGTGGCATAGTGGTAAAGAATCTGCCTGCCAATGCAAGAGACACAGGTTCAATCCCTGGGTCAGGAAGATCCCCTGGAGAATGAAATGGCAACCTAATCCAGTATTCTTGCCTGGAGAATCCATGGACAGAGGAGTCTGGCAGGTCATGGTCTCTATAGTCACAAAGAGTCAGACACAACTGAGGGACTAAACAACAAAAATGAACTATAACTTCTCTGGAGAGACATTTTGAGACATAAAACATAAAGTGGGAAGAATTGCTTTGCCTATCATATTTTTGTGTATTTAAACATTTTTAATGAGTTTATTCTTTATTTAAAAAAATAGAAAACATTTTCTGAAGTCCTTGTAAGCCTCTGGCCATATGCATATACTCATGACTGATGTAAAGAAAACCATCTGCTTTCTTTCTGTAGGTTTTCAAATGAACGAGAGACCCGGAGTATGAAGTGCGCCCAGGTGTCTTCTAACAAGATAATCAAAGCAAGTTGTGAGAAAAATTATCCATGGATTTGTCAATTGTAATCCACTTGGCAGAAAATAAGTCTCTGTTTGTCTGACTAAGAGACACCACATGAAGTTTGAGCTCAGATTATAAGAAAGTTCAGAGGGCTGTGTGTGTGTGTGTGTTTTATAGTACTATTCTCAGAAATGTGGAAAAGGAGATACACAAAATAAAATGTTTTAGAAAATGAGTGTATATGATGAATATATTGTTACATCTGAATGATGTGGTGATTCAATCATCCATCTCATCTTGCCAGTATTTTTTGAAACTTTATCTTTTCTGTATCTTCAGACTGAGTGACTCACACTTTCACTTAGCTTAACATGATATCCTTAGTTAATTTCTTACAGTTTCACAGTTTCAACTACCACATACAAAGCAATGCATATCAAAGTTATATCTGCCCTTCAGATCATTCTCTGATCACCAGACCTGTATACCCTACTGGCTATTTAACACAGCAAGTCTAAAACCTCAAAGGTACTTCCAACTCAACATACAAAAATAGTCCACTAAATTTCATCATAAAAGGAACCATCTTCCAGCACTCCATATCTCAGTAAAGGATATGCCATACAAGACAATTATGCCATCTATAAACCAGTTGTTGTTCAGTCACTAAATCATGTCTGACTCTTTGCAACCCCATGAACTGCAGCATACCAGGCATCCCAGCCCTTCACTATCTCCTGGAGTTTGTTCAAAATCATGTCTCTTGAATCAGTGATGCTATCCAACCAACTCATCTTGTTATTACCCTCTCTCACATGCATACCTCTAAGCTGCTTTCCACCTTCATCTCATATCACCAAGTTTAATTTGTGTGTGCATTAGTCGCTCAGTCATGTCTGACTCTTTGCGACCCCATGGACCATAGCCCACGAGGCTCCTCTGTCCATGGGATTTTCCAGGCAAGAACATTGGAGTAGGTTGTCATTTCCTTCTCCAGAGGCTCTCCCCAACCCAGGGATTGAACCCACGTGTCCTGCTTTGCAGACAGACTCTTTACTCTCTGAGCCACCAGGGAAAATTCCAAGTTTTATTTATTTTTAACTGAATATCTCTGGTGAAGTACAGGAAAGCCTGGCATGCTGCAGTCAATGGGGTCACAAAGAGTGGGACACAACTGAGCAACTGAAAACAGCAAAAATATCTCTCAAATATGTCCTCCTCTCTTCACCACTTTCATGATCTTAACACAAAGACACTAAAATATTAAATAGCTGTAATAGCAACATCTTCACTCCATTTCAATCATTCTCTGCCATGAATTCTGTGACATTTAAAAAATAAATACTGACAATGCAATTTTTTCCTTTAAAAAACACCTCATTATCTTCCTTATAATAATACCAAATTCCATAACAAAGCCTAGCAATCCCTATCAGGTCTAATCTTTCTTTATTGTCTCTTCCTCCACTTGGGCTTCCCAGGTAGCCCAGTGGTAAAGAATCTGCCTCACAATAGGGGAGATGCAAGAGACACAGGTTTGATTCTTGGGTCGGGAAGATTCCTTGGAGTAGCAAATGGCAGCCCACTCCAGTATTCTTGCCTGGAAAATTCCATGGACAGAGGAGCCTGGTGGGCTACAGTCCACGGGGCCTCAAAGATTCAGACATGGCTGAGCACACACACCAACTTACCCAAACTCTCAGGACCACAACTTCATTGAACTAGCTTTTGGAACTCATAATACATTTCACCGCTTTGCCTTAACAGAAGTAGCTCTCTGGACCTGGAATTCTTTCCTCTCTTCGCCATCGTTACCTCCCAAACATTCTCCTTATCTCTGGTCTGTTTTTAAGAGTTTTTCCTTGAGCTCCAGGACAAGGCTGAATATCCTGACATTACATTCCCCTCCCTGGCACCTATCAGTTTTAGTCTTAATTATACCAGTCTTTTGGGTGAATATTTGATTACTATCCTCTGCCCTCACTTGTCTGTAAATAACATGAGGGTCCAATAGCTGTTTTTATATTTCTACTGCCTCTTAAATTACCTACTGCATAATAACTACAAAAAAAATATTGTATTGAGTTTTCTCTGAAACCACAGAAGTAAAATGCCGATATGTGATTGGGGAGAAGGGGTAGAAAATAAGCAGACTGAGATAACAGAGGTTTAACTGCTACATCATTAAAAGCCAACTGAAAACCCACTTGTCTGCTTGTACGACTGATATGGAAAGAGAATCTTATAAATACCAAAGGACTTTAAGTGCTTCTGAGACAAACTTTCTTGTGATGTTTATGCTCGCCTGTTTATGGTGATTATATCTGTACACATTTTCTTGCATATCATATATAACACAAACTACCTTATATATGCTGAGTTGAACATTGTGTATAAACTGGCGAGCAAAGCATTCAAACTGTGGCATGTTGGCACTGATGCCGGGAAAAACTGAGGCAAGAGAAAAAGGAGGCAACAGAGGATGAGATGGTTGAATGACATCACTGACTCAATGGACGTGAGTTTGAGCAAACTAAGGGAGAGAATAAAGGAAGAGAAGCTTTGTGTGCTTTTCATGAGATCGCAAAGGGTCAGACATGACTTAGCAACTGAACAGCAATAACATGTTGGACTCAGTTCAGTTCAGTTCAGTCGCTCAGTTGTGTCTGACTCTTTGTGACCCCGTGAATCACAGCACGCCAGGAGTCCACCAGTTCCCGGAGTCCACTCAAACCCATTCCCATCGAGTTGGTGATGCCATCCAGCCATCTCATTCTCTGTCGTCCCTTTCTACTCTTGCCCCCAATCCCTCCCAGCATCAGGGTCTTTTCCGAAGAGTCAACTCTTCACATGAGGTGGCCAGAGTATTGGAGTTTGAGCTTCAGCATCAGTCCTTCCAATGAACGCCCAGGACTGATCTCCTTCAGGATAGACTGGTTGGATCTCCTTGCAGTCCAAGGGACTCTCAAGAGTCTTCTCCAACACCACAGTTCAAAAGCATCAATTTTTCAGCACTCAACTTTCTTCACAGTCCAACTCTCACATCCATACATGACCACTGGAAAAACCATAGCCTTAACCAGATGGACCTTTGTTGGTGAAGTAATGTCTCTGCTTTTTAATATGCTGTCTAGGTTGGTCATAACTTTCCTTCCAAGGAATAAGCATCTTTTAATTTCATGGCTGCAGTCACCACCTGCAGTGATTTTGGAGCCCAATAAAATAAAGTCAGCAACTGTTTCCACTGTCTCCCCATCTATTTCCCATGAGGTGATGGGACAAGATGCCATGATCTTAGTTTTCTGAATGTTAAGCTTTAAGCCAATTTTTTCACTCTCTTCTTTCACTTTCATCAAGAGGCTTTTTAGTTCCTCTTCACTTTCTGCCATAAGGGTGGTGTCATCTGCATATCTAAGGTTATTGATATTTCTCTTGGCAATCTTGATTCCAGCTTGTGTTTCATCCAGCCCAGTGTTTATCATCCCAACCAAAAAAAAAAAATTTGTTCCATTTTAGGGACACACAGTAGTGTTCATAAGATGAGGATAAAAGTCAACAAAGAGCACTTGAAAGGCTAGCAGAACCCAGTGGCCAAGAAGACTCAAGACAGGATATAAGACCATTGGTTGGACATGAGGAAATTGATGTGTTAATACATGCTGACCAATGTTATAATGGTGTCTGATATCAGGGAGACACCCAATGATGTGAGTAAAAGGATCCAGTGTGAAGCTATGACAAAACAAGAAGATAGGAGATGTGATAAAGAATAGATCAGAACTGAAATAGGAACAAATGAGTAGAGCCTGTGTAGAGCTCTCAGATAAAAGGGGGACAATGGGTCCTTTTACTCACATCATTGGAACCCAGTGTGAAGTTGTGACAAAAATAAGAAGATGGGAGAAGTGAGGGAGAATAGATCAGAACCAATGAAAAGAGCTTTTTTAGGGCTCTCAGGAAAAGAGGGCACAAAAAGATCAGAACTAGACAGTGCTCAGCAGGGCGTGGTTAGTCACTGGAGTTGGTGGACTTCTGGTTAGTGATTGGAAAGATTAGTGACTATGGAGTATTTGCCCAAAAAAGGGGGACACCAGAGCTATAGAAGGCTAAAACCACAGAGCTGAGGAAACTAAAGAGGACAAAGAGGAAGACACTTTCTCCACAAGTTCCTCACACAGCACCCAGCTGCCACCATTGCTAGCGCAGAGTTGCTGACAGTGTCCCTTAAGAGAGAGTTCGCTCCAGTGGCTGCAAGAAACAGAAGATACAGGCTCCAGCCAGAAGCAGAACAGGAACAGGAGGATCTGGCCATATTCCCCATATCCCCGACTTCCCTCATCCCTTTTACTCTCAACTGAGGACTTTCTTCATATGGCCCTGTCTGTGGTTTCCCCTACTCAGCGTCATGCAAACTGTGCTGGGGCTCTGGAACTTCCTATCTCGTGTGTTGAAGAAAGATACAGGAAAGAATGAAAGTCAGTTCATTACCTTTTCAGAAAATAAAGCTAATCTTAGGTCAAGCTCCCAAAGACTGGAAATCAAGAGAATCTATCACAAGTGTTCAATACTGTCTTATGTGAGGCTGAGTAGAACATAGTCCTAGGGGAAAACCCTTAAGAGATTAGACTTTGGTATCTCCAGCCTTTAGCATACAAGGTCAAATGATCAATGTCAAAATAGTAAGATGTGTATACAATGTGTGTATGAGTTGCTTAATCATACACAAAGAAATCATACACATATCTATTATCCTATGTGAAACTCACAATAATTCTGTATGGAGTCCAGTTTTTGTTTTTTCTCAATTAGGAATTAAAAATATAACAAAATTAAACCACTTGTGCCAATATTCCAAGTCAACTTGTACCTTTGATTATACTTCATATGGATGAGTGACTGATTAACATTGATAAAGTCCTCTCATTCTTCAAGTATTCTGAATTCTTATAATAAATAATAGCCATTGAGTCACTGTGTTTAGGATTTTATTCTGGAGCCCCAAAACATACTTAGCTTGAAGGTCTGAGAACTTCTATCCATACTGCTCCTTCCTTGGGCAATCTGTCCTCTGAGAAGAATGATATCCTACTATTTTCTAAGAGTTCCCATCTTCGTTGTCTCTCTGAGTTTACATAATAGAGGTAGAAAATTGTGAAGACTAAAGGACCAATGTTGAATGTGCTAGAGGCTGAACCTAGATTTCCCTAATCTAACTGATGTCTTTCATGAATATTA